GGACTCTCTCCAAGTGCAGGCTCAGGTTGAACAGTCGCTGGAACACTCCGCTCAGCTGATCAGCACAGGCCCTCAGAACTCTGGGACAGATGTTATCTGGTCCTGTGGCCTTACCATTAAGTAGTATCAATTTTTATTATTTTCTGCTTCCCTTGGTGCTAAATTGCAGCTGCTGTCGTGCCTGCAACAGTGATGGGTTCTCCCCTCATCCTTTTAGTTGGTTGGTGTCCGACTGGTACAGTGGTAGCCCTCAACTTTATCCCCTAACAAAGTTTCCACCTGCAAATGCTGCTGATTTTGTTTTCTTTCTGTGGTGATTCTGCTTGTAATACATCCTCATCCATTCAATTCAACTTCAGCAAGCAGTAACTCTCTACCCTTTTCTTCTTAATCCCATGTCTGGCTCCTCTTCTGTTTCTCTTCTGCAGCCCACCACAGAGTTCCTATCACAAGCTAGCCACTGTTAATGCTAACTTTTATCCATGATTTGCATCATACATGCTTGTCATTGACTTCATTTTTCCATCGGTCTTCCTCCAAAACGCTGTATATCCTTAGTCATTCATACAAGCTCAAACCTCATCATCTATACTTCTCATTCATTTTATGCTATGCACACTTTCTCTCTTGGTTCCTGTGAGATATTCTAGATATTCTAAACCAACTCTCCTTTAGCTCAGCTTTTGAAATCTGTATTTTGTCAAAATTAGAACCAAACTCATGAACTTTATGGATAAAAATATCTGCCACCATTGCTTAAGCACCTCTCAGTTATTTTTTAAATAGAGCAAGAGAGCAGTGATTTTGTATCAGTGACATATATTGTATGTAGGTATAAAAGTAGTGCCCTACAAATATATTCATACCACTAATTAAACAGATATAAAATACCATATCATAAAGATATATAGATCAGGTAATATGTTATACAGAAATGTTAATTGGATTACAGAGCAACAGAGCAAAGTATCTTATCTGTCATAAAGTCCAGAAAACACAAGGGACAATTTCTATTCATACTCCTGTACTTTGTATTTTGTGAATCCTCCTTCAATCGATTACCCTGACAAGATACTGTGCTTCATGTAGGATGAATCTTTCACACTTCTGAGGGAAAATTTCTGAGCGTTTCTTCAGGCCCAGTTGTTTACGTCTGTAGTTTTATGTTTGGCAATGCCACTGGTTCACCGGTTAAGGTTTAAGTGTTTATATGTGCTTTGAATGTGAAAAACATACAGATGGGAGGCTGTGGAGGGGGTCACATGT